CCTCCTCCTTCTCTTTCTCCTTCTCCTCCTTTTCCTCTTTCTCCTCCACCTCTTCCTCCTCCTTTTCCTTTTCCTCTTTCTTCTTCTCCTCTTCCTCCTCCTCTTCCTCCCCCCCCTCCTCCTCCTCCCAAGCCAACGTTTCTGGTGCCTTCCATCCAAACAAACCTGGATGGATATTCAACAGGCTCCAGTAAGCCCCCTCCTTCCCACCCCACCCCACCCCAGGAAAAAAGTGCATAGATACTGGGGGAGAGGGGGAAAAAAAAACTCCCGAGAGGAGGTAGGAGGAGGTTAGAAACCTATTTTTGATTTGCGGTCCAGCCCTTGTTGTGTTGATGGTCATGCGAATGCCTGAATCTTGGATAGAAAATCCTGACGCGTGTATATATTGCTTAACTGATTATTCGGTTTGTCATAAATATATATATATATATGTGTGTGTGTGTTATATTTTTTATATATAGAGAGAGAATATTTTATATATATTTTTTGACAGATCCTACTATTGGATTATAAAAGCACAGGATATTGCATTACTCAGATCAGGAAGGGAGTGCTGGAAAAGGGTCTCCATGCACATGCTTTCAAAGTCATGGTTGAAAAAGTTCACCTTTTTTGCGGGTCCCGAAAATGCCCCTCGGCTTGGCCGAGTGGGACCCTGTCTGGGGGAAACCATGCTATCTGTTCAGAAGGCCGCTGTCTCTCCAGTTTGGGTGGGTTTGGGAGAACCCCAAAAGAGGTGAAAGGGAAGAAGGTGACTTTGTGTTTGTGTGTGTGTGTGTGTATTTGCACGCACGCAGTTTTGCCGTGGAGGAACGACAGTTTCCCACCCAGCCACGGCTCCTGGTGGCTCAAAGGGAATGTATAGGTAGGTCTGTAGATGTCTTCTTCCCTTGGTTCTTCGAGGGAAGTCCAAGGGTCCATGAACCTGGTTCCTTCTCCAGAAGTTATTTCATCCCGCTTCTCAGAACCTGGTTGGCCGCGATGAGCATGACGCTGATGATAAACGCAATGGCGAAGGCGCAGATGAGGCTTTTCCGGACGCACGTCTGCCTGATCTGTTGGTTCGAGCAGGCTGAGGAGGAAGTGGAAAGGGAGGAGGAGAACGGGGCAAGGCCATGAGGAAGAGGAGAGAGAGAGAGAGGAGAGAGAGAGGAGAAAGAGAAACGGAGGGAAAGACGGGCAAGAGGAAGAAAGAAGAAGAGATTATCAGAGTGCTTCTCGGCATTGACCCCTCTGTTGCTGAAATCGTACTTCCTGAAATCGAGTTTGGAGTGGTTTACATTTAGTTTACATCTGTTGTGTGCTCTTTGTGTTGTTGTGGTTAAAGCTGATATATTCATTAACTGGTAAGACGTTGTAACAGATTATTTTATGTACTGTGCTTAAGTCCAATCTTAGCCAGCGTGCCAAAGTTGGACACTGTTGAACTAGAAGCTAGAAGCTCCTTTGGGGCTTTTGATGAGCAGGATGTCAGCCTTGAAAGCCGTATTTTTACTTGGAAGCTCCGAGGCTGCCACGTTCAGTGCCTGGGAATTTGGGAAGGGGGGATTCCTAGTGGGGTAGAAGATTGGACACAACAACTTTTTCCTCAGAGAGTCAAGGACAAGTCGCCCTGCACCTGGAGGGGAGTGATTGGGAGAATGTCTCCCGTTGGGATGAAGATTTGGTTGGCCCATGTGATGGGCTGATGGGTTCAGGGGATGGATGGTTGATTTCTCTTTTGGGAAGGGAAAACCCGGAACGCTCCGATTCAGGTTTCCCCAGATGTGCCGATATGAGAACTCTAATAAAACAGAACTTTGAGGAATTGTTTGTCTCGGAATTTATTGGTTAGGAGTTGGTTAGTTGGAACGCTGACACCCCCAATGATCTGAGCCCCAAGACCAAGTTCACTTACTTTCCACATCAACTGGACACTCCTCTGCGTTCCCCATGTGACTTTCCTCCTCCGTCATGATGATGTTTTCAATGTCCTTCATGGAAAGGTGCTCACAGAAGGTGTCGTACAGCAGCCGTTTCAGTTCATCTACCGTCAGCTTCTGCATGTCGCACTGCAGAGGGAAGGAAGGGTATTGCACAACTTCCGATGCCGTAAGCAAGCTTGATGTTGAGGAGGCATGTGCCAAAAATATTGGATGGAGAATGTTAGGAATCTGTCCACCAATTAGTTGGGTTGGCAATATATAAACCAACAATGTATGTTTGTAGCTTTAAGACAAAGTTACTGCATTGATTTGTACTATGTTCCGATTGGTTGATTGTATTGCGAATTGCCATAAGAGGGAGCTAGAGATCATGGTTTCTCTCTCTGACATCCTGTCTCTCTGACATTCTTTTGCTATCTAAGGTTCTCTGCTGTGCTTAAACTTTGATATCTTCGTTTAAATGACAAAGGCAACCGGTAAGAAGATTTTGTAATTGGATATTCTTTAGAGTGTTAAACGTATATGACCTGGACCATTTATTGGAATCTGCTATTTCTTAAAGTAAACATTAACTCAATTCAGTGTAGCCGTGTGTGGCTAAATAATTATTCATAACTACTCTCATAAACGTTTCCATGTGTGTATCCTTGTTATTCAAGGATTATTCTGTACATATCATAACAGAGAACCTGTCTGGATTTTTTTTCTTGGTGAGCCTTTTACACTACAAATCCCGACTCTCTAATCTTTCAGAGAAGCTATGTAGATATGGAATGGATGGGTTCATGGTGCTGCAAGCTCAGAGAACATCAAGAACCCAATGTCTTCACTCTTTGGTCCTTCAGAGAAGCTATCTAGGAATAGAATGGATGGGTTCATTGTATTCCAGGTTAAAGAACATTGAGAACCCAACATCTTCATTCTTTGGTCCTTCAGAGAAGGTATCTAGATATGGAAGGATGAGTTCATGGTATTGCAAGATCAGAGAACATCAAGAACCCAACAGCTACACTCTTTAGTCCTTCAAAGAAGCTATCTAGATATGGAGTGGATGGGTTCATGGTG